CAGCCCCCTCCACCAGGGCGGGGCGGACCGCCTTCCCCATCTACTGTGTCCCACTTTGACATCAAACGCGTAGCGTGAGGTGGCGGGGCGGGGCGCGCTGGTCGTGACGGTCAGCAGCGCTCGCGCGCCCCATCATCGACACAATTAGACTGGCCGACGTGTTGACGAAATAATTGGACTTCTAATTAATTGAAGTCGGAACAGGAGCGGTGGCACGGGCCGCCCTCCGGCTGCAGGGCCCCGCCTCCCTCTGCCCTAGCCGTACATTTGTAAACTTAAAGGAAGAAAAATGGAATAAAACTGTGTGCTTTACAAATGGTCCAGTACATGCTCAATGAACTGTCTTTCGGCCCGTCCCGTTCTTTCAAGAGTGATTGATCTCGAACGACGAAAGAGTCCAGTAAACGCCGGAGCTCTTTGTAAATGTGGCATTCTTGCGGTGTAGGTGGTATTTCCGGGGGGACTACACACACGAGTCACACACTGAGGTGTTTGATTGCTGCCTGATTGTCCGAGTGACGTTGGTGTGTGTGCGTGGGGGGGAGTGCCATATCACATCCCTCTTCCTCATCCTCAAATTCCTGTGACGCGGACGGTATTAATGAAACCAGCACCTGTTTGGGGCCCGTGTCGCTCGCGTGCGTGTGTGTGACGTGTCTGTGACGTGTCGTGGCGGGGAGTGGCGCACAGTGGTTGATCTGACAGCCGCTCGTCCAGTTTTGTCGACGCCATGACGCGCGGAACGAAGGGGGTAACACTGTGTGTGTGTGTGTTCTGCCATGCCCGCAGTGGAAATTGAAACGTCATAAAGCTGTTGGTTGCGCTCTGCCTCTGCCGCCGTAGCGAGTGCGAGGGTGTGTTCCTCGTGGCACGCGTTTGGCACACCATCACTGGTCACACTCTCATGCGCTCCGTCACTTGCCTTAGCCACCAAAGGCTCCCTCCTCTTGCTTTGCTTCTTGCATTTGTTCTGATTGCGCTGATTGCACTGGCCATCGCTTTGGCGCGCGTCCCTTTCACGCCACTTCCACGTTACTCCCGTGTCAGTTCCGTGTCATCCTCTTGTCACTTCCGTGTCAGTTAGCCCTCTGCCGGGCCACGCTTGACCGCCGCCCCTCCTCCACGCGGTCGCTCTCAAGGAGGGTCCAGTGATCGTGTGGTTTCGTCTGTGCATTTTTCTGCACAGAGTTTCCCTCTCTCCTGTAACAGCAGATATTGTCTTTTCGAAGTATAGGATAAATTCTGTTGGAAGAGGTCTCAGGTGCGTCTTGCATTTCAGTTTTCAGTCCGCATTTGAGGTCCGCGGGGAGCGTATTCTGAATGGCCGCGCACATTTGCTTTGTGCAACATTCGTTGCCTTCGTGGGAGGAACGCCCACGAATCATGAGCCTAATAGCCAGTCGACCAAAAACCGCTAACCTCAAAGACTGAATATCCCGTCACGCATTTTTTTCCGCATGAAATAGGAAAAAAAAGAGGCCAAAATAAAATAGAAAAAAAAAACACATCATGCGTAGTGAATGAAATTCCGCGAGCGCGCTCGTGCGGTTTGTGTATGCTTCACGTTTTTAAAAATTAAATCTTTTCGTCGGTCATTTTTCAAGCGCGATCGCTTCACTCCTTGTTTGGCCATAAAGTGAGCGTTTAGCATGACAAGGATATCAGGAAACCATTAATCAGCTGGTAGGGAGGACGCGGCAGAGAGAGAGAGAGAGAGAGAGAGAGAGAGAGAGAGAGAGAATTCGGGGTGGATTGGGGTGCGGCGACGCTCACCCCTGCCTGCATCCCCCAGTCAGTTGGGCTTACCGCGCCAAAGCGAAACCCATCATCAATCCTATATCCCCTGTTAACACATGTTTCTCTATCTCCCTCGCCCGGTTTTCTTTTCTCTCTACTTCTCACTCAGAACAACTGCTGCTGGACCGTTTGGAGTCGAGCTTCTTTTTTAAAAACTGTTTCCTTTCCATTTCTGTCTACAAATAGTCGCAGACGTTTCGTTTTACTTTAATATAAGTCTAAACAAATCCAAATGTACGATTCTTTGCTCTGTCAAATTTATTCTTTTGCGTGTTCGCGCAAAATGCTTAATACACGTTTTCGTTCAATCAAACGTTAAATTTTTATTTTTTTTTAACTTTTTTTCTCTCTAAAACTTTTTGTAAATTGCTCCATATTATTGGTCTTGTTTACAGGCGTGTAAATCTCTTTGGGCCATGCACCCCATGGCCCGCGCCGCTCAGTGCCGCCGTTATCTGAGCTGTATGTCTTGCCTATCGACGTGTGTGTGTTTACGGATCAGTGCTGGGGGTGGGGCGGGGT